AAATAAATAAATAACTATTCAAATAAGAAAAAAATTAATTTACTTAGGATTTGAGGGCTTGAAGGCCTCCTCCATTGTTTTGGAAAAACAGGAGTTTAATGTTGTCACAATAACTTCAGTATTTATAAGTACTTCATTTTCAAGATCTTTCTTATTGGTATACATGAACAAATTGTTTGATTGACCTTGTTGCTAATAAAACAATAATAAATGCTAAATAATTTCAAAAATCAAATTTTATAATATCAATATATTTGTATTTTACATCAGCTTCATTTGAAAGATTTCCCATTTTTTGTTTGATCACAGTATCCAGCATAACATTGACAATAGGAGAATTTGGATCATATTTTTGTCCACTACCCACTCGTACCACATTAAATTGTGATTCATCTGAAATAAATAATGAAAATTGAAGATATATTTTTATCCTATAAAATAAACTAGATAGAAACTTACATTTTAAATCCTTTTTAATTTCTATTATTCGTCTTACTATTACATCAGCAGCTTCATTAGAAGGTGCACATATWAGAAGTTTAGGTTTAGTCTTGGCCAATTGTTTGGACATTAAAGTTAAAATAATATTACAGATAACATTTGTCTTTCCTGTACCAGGAGGTCCAATTATCAAACCAACATTTGGTTCAACAGAATTACAAATTGTTACAGCCATTTTCACAGCTTCTTTTTGACTATTATTCAATAATAAACTCTAAACAAAATCATTACCACAATAAAATAAAATAAAATATAATAAATATAATCAGTTAACTTAAATGATGAATTATTTAMATTTATGTTAAAGCTTTTAGAAATTGCTTTAGAAGAATCAATAGAGTAATTATGAAATTGTGGAGTGATGAGTGCCTTGCATAGTGAAGATTTTGTCACATTATGGATAGCTTGAAATAAACGTAGTTCTGAGTGTAAATAAAAAATATCCTAAAATTAATAATACAGTTTATTAAATTAACCATGATTAAAATATTTTGTGTGAATATTGTGTTGGTTTAAAATAATAAAAAATAAACAAAGTTTTAATTTTATTATTTCTCACAAATTGRATGAATAGKTGTTGTTCAATTTTCTAAATATGCTTAAAACCTGAACATTTGAACAATTTTACAATTGCTCTTAATTATTTTATATGTTCATATTTATGTGGAAGTAAACAAATTAAATTRAATATATTATGTAYACCCAGTGGGGCCAAAAATATATTAATCAATAATGAAATTAAATATTAATTAATTCTTAGCCTTTACCATCAAGTGAATATGTGTTCCATTCGGAATATTTTCAGTCTTTTTTGTAACAATTAGTTCTATGTAAAATTGTGAATTTGAATGATTCCCTAAAMAATTTAAATTAAAATGTACTCAATTTAGTTATTATTTTAAATTCAAAATTATTTACCAATTTTTTTAGTCATATTAACATAAGCAAAAAAAATATTTTTAGATTTAGTAGGTTTTTGATTTCTAACAGCATCTATTCCAAAGCAATTTGACTGTACTATAACAATACACAAAGATCCCTTGAGTGAATTTCTTGATACCATTAAAGTTGCAATGTTCTTGTTTGTTCCTAAAGAAAAAAAAAATAGGCGAATATTAAAAATATAATCTATACAGTATATAAAATACAAT